CTAATAGCCTCTGTTTCCCAAGCCACTTCTTGACCCTGAAGAGTGCCCTGAGCCTTCCCACCCTTACGGCCACATAGGTTCCCCCTAGGTTGGGGCTTCTGGGCCTCCATGGAGGGCCATCAAGCCCTGTGAAATAGCAGGATGGGCTTCCTTCCTGTTAAGAAGTGTCTGGAAGAATCATCTATTTCAGGTGGCCCAGGGAAGACATGCCAGCTTCACCTCTGGCTCCTGCAGCATGAAGTATGAGGCATGAGGTCTGCACATCTTCTGGCTAAGTACCAAGTCAGGATAGCTGGCTCCTCAGAGAGATTTCCTGTCATACATAGGTCAATCCCTCTGGTTCCAGTAGGCAGCCAGTTTAGAGAGTACCTAGGAGCCTTGGGGGACCTCCTCTCCTAAGCCTCTTACCATGGAGGCACCACTTTGTACAGCTAAGGAAGACTACTGGCGCCAAGGCCGGGACAAGATGTCACAGGACTGTTTGTGTGTACTCAGCCTGGGTACTCACTGTTTCCATACCCCTAGCCTGACATAGGGACCTGGGAATAGGAAGGAATGGTCTGAAGATGGGCACTTCCCAACAACTCCAGAGTAGCTATGGGTGAGGCAAAGAGAGAGAGAGAGACATTTCTGGGTCCAGAGGGCTCCTCAGCCCATGGCTGTGGCCTTCCTTGGAAGGCCTGATGTGCCAAATCTATCTGCCTGGGCCCAAGCCCAGGAGAAGCTCAGGGGAGGTTTCTCACCACCGTCTGGAAGAGGCTAGATACAAATAGCTGCACCCATCTGGGAGGTGAGTTACTTCTGGGTGTTTCAGCCATTTTTTGAAAAGGTTCTATTTTAGGTGAGTTGCCTATGATGCAGCCTGGGTGATGGGAGATGGGAAAAGAAAGCCACTAATTGTACATTGGAGAGTTTTTGCATGCACCTTTGTTTAGCCCTATCCAGAACCCAAGGAAAAATCATCCCAAAGGTCCCCAGGCAGAACCCTCCCTCCCAGAGCCCTCTTCTCAGGAAGTCTCCCTTCAAGTCATAGTGCAGCTCACAGGTGCATGATAGAAATAGGATCTTGGCAACCACCACAGGAACTGAATTTGTGGCTGTCACCCTAGGACAGAGAGTAGGCCTCCCCTTTGGGAGTTAATTCCCTTCCAGATCCCTCTCAAGAGGTGGGGATATAGCTCAGTGGCACAGTGTGTGCTTAGCATGCAACAGGTCTTGGCTTCAATCCTGAGTTCTTAAACATATACACAAAAAGGTAAGCAGAAGAGGCCTGCCCTTTAGAACTCCATTCTTGGAAGGGTTCTTTTTTTTTTTTTTTTTTTTGGTGGAACCGGGGATTGAACTCAGGCCCTTGCGCTTGCCAGAGAAGCGCTTATTCCACTGAGCCATCTCCCCGGCCCATAGAACTCCATTCTTGATGGGAGCGAGCTTTTCCTACCTAGAATAAACTTATCATAAACCGGGAAGACATTGGCCTCCAACCTCAGCTCACTGAAGTACAAAATCTGATGGCTTTGGCCATACCAGAGCTGTGCCCCATATCACTGAACTGTCTGGCTCAATCCCATAAGTAAATCTGTTTGTGATGAGTCTGATCTGGGACATACTTTATGTGCAGGATAGATAACACCTGCCCACAAGGGCTGGCTGGGAGCAGAAGATACCTAGGAAACGGATTAGTAGATACTTTTCATTAGAATTAGCCTTCTGGGGGGGGGGGGAAATAAACTGGGTGATGCGGTGGAGAGTACTTGGGGTATCCTTAGAATAGTCTCTGATGGGAATGTGTTCTTTGACCTGAAACCTATACAGTAGGCTAGGCCAATGGGAAGGGCAGGCAAGCCCAAAGGCTCAGGTGCAGGAATGAGTTTCAAGGAGGTCCTGGAAGCACAAGAGGTCCAGTGTGTTTGGGAGAAACAGGTAAGGGGGCTGTAAGAAGCCAGAAAAAAGGAAGGCTGGATAGCTCATGAGGCTGTGATGAAGAATTCCCAAAGCATGATGGGAAACTACTTAGAGGGGTTTGAACCTATGAGTACTATGCTCTAGTTTTGTTCCCCCACCTCTTTTTTTTTTTTTTTTTTTTTCAGTTCAGGCTGGCCTTGAACTCACTTTGTAGCCCAGGCTAGTCTTGAACTTGCAACGATCCTCCTGCCTCAGCCTCTCAAGTGCTGGGGTTGTAGGCATGTGCCACTATGCTTGACCTATGCTCTAATTTTCAAGTGGAGGAAAAAATACCAATGGTTCATGGAACTTGACTTAAGGCATGCTCAGGTCCAAAGAAGTAATAGTCAGGGCTGCTCCTTTGTCCTTTGCTTGACTGCAGTCAGTATCTGTTGGTTTTAGTCCTACTATCTCTCTGCACATTGGGAAAGAAAATGTGCTGACCCCTTGAAAAAAACCACTCTTGGGAAGGGGAGATAGCTCAGTGGTTTAAAGCACCTGTTTAGGCAAGCGTGCAGGTTTGATCCTCCTCCCCACCATATGCTGTGCCAGCCCCGCCCCCGGGGTAGGCTGAGCCAGCCAAAAAAAGAAAGAAATCTAAGAAAGATTTGAGTGCCAACCACGCCCTATTCAACATAAAAAATTCACAAGGAAAATTATTTTTTTTTTTTTCGGAACCAGGGATTGAACTCAGATCCTTGCGTTTGCCAGTCAAGCGCTTATCCTACTGAGCCATCTTCCCGGCCCGGAAAATGATTTTGAATATGAAGAATGTCAGAAAATATTTACAGTAAGTCAGACATGATTAAACATCAAAAACTTCATGAAAGAAAAACAAAAAGAAGAAAAAAGCCACTCTCCTGTTATTAACTTACCATATATGTCACACAGGGTTCCAATTGGCTTTGATAGTAAGGTTACATATCCATCCCTGTATGGACTCATGGCAGAGCAAGGTCTGACCCAAAAATATAGTGAATATTTAAAATTTTTTATTACAGTAAAAGACATATTGCCATTAATCCCCTTCAAAATGCTGTCTTTTATTTTAAACACATTTAGCCCATTTTTCTTGCCACTTTCTGAAGCAATTCTGAAAGTCTTTTTTTTTTTTTTTTTTTTTCTGGTGCTGGGGATTGAACTCAAGACCTTGTGTTTGCCAAGCAGGCGCTTATGCTGTTGAGCTATCTCCTGCGCTGAAAATCCTTTTTCATGTCTTTCATTGCACTATTGTGGCTCCCTTGATATCCTGAATCAGTCCAAAATATTTATCTTTCATGCTCATTTTGACTTGGAGGAGGAGTCAGAAGTTATATGGTTCAATCCCCAGTACTGAAAAAAAAAAAAATGCTATCAGAAACAGTTTGCCAGGGAGATAGCTCAGTAGAATAAGCACTCACCTGGCAAGTGCAAGGGCCTGAGTTCAATCCCTGGTTCTGCCAAAAAAAAAAAAAAAAAAAAAAAAAAGAAGAAGAAGAAGAAGTTATGTGGTGCCAGATCCAGTGAATGAGATAAACAAGGATACATTGTAATGTTTCTACAAGTCTACTTTTTCTATTAAATGGCTCTCAGCACTAGTATTCATATTTTAAAATCACATCTTGTCAAGGGATTAAAGAGGACTTCAGAACTGCTTCAAAAAGTGGCAAGAATGATTGGATAAGATGGGGGGAGAAAAGAGGAAAATGATGAAAATGCAGCTGTTTCAAGTAGAAAGCAGACCAAGAGTTAGAGAGAGGGAAGGAAGGAGGGAGGGAGGGAGGGAGGGAGGGAGGGAGAGAGAGAGAGAAAGAGAGAGAGAGAGAGAGAGAGAGAGAGAGAATAAAAAGAAAAAAGAATTATGATTTTTTATGTACATGTATAACTCCCCATGAAATACATAATCATTGTGTAGAATGATAGAATAAATGTGTTCAAAGTAAGGAAAATTAATGACAATGTGTCTTTCATTATAATAATGTTTAAAATTTAACATTCACCATAATTTTTATTTTTTATTTTTTCAGAACCAAGGATTGAACTCAGGCCCTTGTGCTTGCCAGGCAAGCACTTACTCTACTGAGCCATCTCCCCAGCCCCTCACCATATATTTTGATCACCCCTTGTATACTTCTATCATATAAATAGCAGCACATGGTAGTATTGTTACTGTCCTGGAGGCATAATTACTCCCATTGTTTTCTTCCTGGGGCTGAAGAGTAGCTCAGTGGGAAAGTGCTTGCCTAGCATGCTCGAGGTTCTGGAGTTTATCTGCAGCAATGAAAAAAAATTGTGTTCCTTAAGAAAAAACAAAAGTCTTATTGCATTCCATTTATATCACTTATAATCCATTATTGTCTCTTTCTTTGTCTTTATCCTGCTGTCTTTGTCTTTTTTTTGCCATAATTTTATTGATAAACGAATAGCAGTGAGACAGTTTCAAGTCAAATCGGTCCATTATTGTCTCTTGAGATATTTTATTACATACCTTAGTTCTTCAGTGATACTCTGAGCTCCCGAAGGACAGGAATCACAGGTTCTTTTTATTTCCTGTGCCTTCTTCTCTTAGCTGTCACTCTGCACTTGCTCACTCTGCAGGTTGCCTCTTGTGTACCAGGCACTATTTTAGAGCCATACTTTTCCTTGTGTTTGTGTTGTTTGAGGTCACTCTGACTGGAAATGACCAGAAGGGGGCAGCAGGAGGAGATTGACCAGTTGGAGACTTTAGGGACTGTCCAGCAGGAGGAAGGTAGCATGGACTGATGAGATAGGACTTGAAGATGGAGTGCCATGCACAGATCTGAGGTACTGCTGCTGGGGAGCAGTTAAAATTCAGGAACCAAGGTCTGGTAGGCAGGGGTTGGTTGGTGGGGGACAGGGTCAGAGGTGTTGGGCTACTTCTGCTCTACTCTGTCTGGTGGCAACTAGAGGGTAAGGAGGGTCATCATTTACCATCAGTCTGTTCCCTAGAAGCCCAGAGTGGGGATTTGATACCCCCGTGTGTACTTGGAGTTTGCCCTGCTGCCACAGGGTCTCCACTGACCTGGGACATGAGCTGACTGTGTTGCTTCTTTCCCCAGGTGAAGGAGTGGCTCTGTCTGAACTGTCAGATGCAGAGGGCTCTGGGAATGGACATGACCACTGCACCTCGCTCTAAGAGCCAGCAGCAGCTGCACTCCCCAGCCCTGTCTCCTGCTCACTCCCCAGCCAAACAGCCCCTGGGGAAGCCAGAAAAAGAGCAATCTCGGGGCCCTGGGAGTCCACAGCTGGGCTCCCGTCAGGCAGAGACATCCAGGGCCACATCAGTGCCGGGGCCTGCCCAAGCAGCTGCCCCTCCAGAGGTGGGGAAAGTGTCTCCTCAGCCCTCTTTCCCCACCAAGCCTTCCACAGCTGAGTCCAGGCCATCTTCAGGAGAGGCCACAGTAAAAAGTGCCACCACACTGCCCGCTGGGCTTGGTGCCAGTGAGCAGACCCAGGAGGGCCTCACTGGGAAGCTCTTTGGCCTTGGTGCATCGCTGCTGACCCAGGCAAGCACCCTCATGTCTGTGCAGCCTGAAACTGACCCCCAGGGCCATTCTTCTCCTAGTAAGGGTCCGCCCAAGATTGTCTTCAGTGATGCCAGCAAGGAAGCTGGCCCAAGACCCCCAAGCTCAGGGCCTGGGCCAGCACCGGGAGCCAAAACTGAGCCTGGGGCTAGAACGGGGCCTGGATCTGGGCCTGGAACCCCAGCAAAGACTGGAGGAACAACCAGTCCAAAGCATGGCAAAGCAGAACATCAAGCAGCACCTAAGGCTATGGCCAAGCCAAAGACTACGCCGAAGGAGAAGGCTACTTGCCCACTGTGCCAAGCTGAGCTCAATGTGGGCAGCAAAGGCCCTGCCAACTATAATACATGCACCACCTGCAAGCTCCAGGTGTGCAACCTGTGTGGCTTCAACCCAACACCCCACCTGGTAGAGGTAAGAAAACTGGACCAAGTATGGTCTCTTGATCTTGAAGAGGGGTTAGAGTCTAAGGTAAGGGGGACATGGATCCAGGAAGCAGCTATGGGGCTGTCCCTCACAGCTGATGCTGCAGGGGACTGTGATTGCTTTCCTGCCCCTGTCTTGGCTCCTGTCCTTCCACCCAGGAAATCGATTAGCATAGTGTTGTAGGGAAATGGTGCCTGTTGCCTCTGATTGACTGATCAGTACTCTGAGTGCTGTCTCAGGTTTGGAAGGTTCTGAGGTGGCCTCCTCATTTCCAGATACAATGAACATGGCCCTCATGAAAAATGCTACCTCTTTTGCTCGGACAGAAAGACCCTGACATGCCATCCTGCCTTCAGTCTGTAACTTTCACCATGGTAGGAAGTTGAAGGGCCTTGGTACAAAAGGCTATTCCTAGGCCTGGGGTAGGGCTGGAGGCTTTTTCACAGTGATAGACTCAGGCCCCTGATATCTACACTCAGTCTCTCTCATGAGGTCATAGGTATGGCTGTCTACTTATCAAAATCATGGACCACTTGTTTTCTTTTGACTAGGCTAGGTCTAGGCTCTCTTAAGATCTGTTTATAAGGATGAACTGAGATACTCTCCTTACCTGTAGAAACATTTAAAGGAAAGCTGGGACCAGGGCTGATCTGAGTCTCTGCTCCAAGGAAAGGTACTGGGCACTGCGTAGAGTCAGATAAAAGGGAGAAAGAAGCCCAGTGTTCTTGAAAAACTTGGAGTCCATCCTGGAAGGTCTGGAAAGATGGAGGTACTACAGGTCTGCTGGACCACTGGCCTGGAGGCTGCTTATGATCCTGCTCCAACCCCATTACCCACTTTCCCTTGTCTAGGGCCACCCATGTGAACCTCACCATGGCTGCCTTTGACATATCCCAGTGTGTCCCCTTGAGGCCTATGCTTGGCTGATCTTGAAGGTGGATATGCATCATATCAAGAGATTGCCAATCCAAGACCCCTATGTTCTGCACTTCAGTGCTACCTACACTCTTTGGACTTAGGCTGAGTCATGCATAGCTGATGGTAGGGCAGAGGGTGGGAAGTACAAACCCATGCTGGCCCAGGTTGGGACAAGAAAGGAGAGCATAGGGTTGTATAGATCCTATGCTACCTTGTTCTGATTTGTGTTGGTCCAGGCCTCTGTGGAAGTCCCACAGGAGATATTCAGTGTAACTTTGGTCACAACAGGCTATACTTTTCAGCATCCAGGAAGGGGCAGCCCTGAGCAAGATAAATGACCTCCTCACATGATACCATGTAGCCCTCCAGGCCCCACACTGCCAGCTTACCAGGCTCTAAACCCAAAGGCTTACTGGAGGACAGCTTTTCTGGGTGGCAAAGGAAGGAAGAAAATGCCACGGGGTCACCAGAGGACCAGGGGAACAGTTGGGTGCCTTGTCCAGGTACCACCAGGTATGAGCTCACTCCTGGTTAGGAGGTACCCTCTGATACTGAGGGACTATCTTGGTTACTTTTCCCTCATTGCTGGGACAAAATACCCAATGCTCAAACTTAAGGAAGGAAAGGCTTATTTATTTCACATTTTGTGGAAGTTTGAGTCCATTCTCAACTGTCTCCAAGACAGGGTGATGTAGTAGAGGAGCAACAGTTCATAGTGGAGGAAGATAGCAAAAGCAACAAGAGAAAAAAGGGAGGAGCAAGAGAATGCAAGCTTCTTTCTCTCCCTTATATTGTTTGGTTTGTGTGTGTGGGGTGTGTGTGTGTGTGTGTGTGTGTGTGTGTGTGTGTGTTTTGATTTTTCTTTTTTCCTTTTTGAGACAGGGTCTTGCTATACAGTTCAAGCAGGCCTTGAACTTATTTTTTAACCTTTTATTTATTTACTTATTTGATATAGGTTTTTTCTATGAGGTTCAGATTCTTAGTGTTCTTCCTGTCTCAGGCTCCCCAGTGCTAGGAATATAGGCACCAGCCGCTATGCCTAGTTTTGGCTAGCACAGCACACCTGGGATTCCAGGGCCGGCATGTCATGTGGAATCAGGGATTGAACCCAGGTCCTTGCACTTTAAAGGCAGGTTCTTAGACAGCTGAGCTATCTCCCCAGCCCCTAAGCTGGTCTTGAACTTGTAGCATTCCTCCTGCCTCAGCCTCCCAAGTACTGGGACTACAGGTGTGCACCACCATGCCTGGCCTCCCTCCTTTATATTGCATGCAAGCTACTTGCCCCAGGGTGAGTGTAACACTCATACCCACAATCCCAGCATTGGACCATAAATCAGTCATAAACTCTAGAAGGTCACCCATGGCTGCATGAAGCTTTGGGGGAGACATCTAGACACAGGCATAACAGGGACTATGATTCCTACTAGACTCCTGACCTGGCCTGGTCTGAAGGACCCCTTGTGCCCAAGAGATCTCTCAGTCTACATTTGCTCTTTAAGTGTATATGTGTAAAGGGAGGGAAAACTATCTTTTTTCAGGAACATAAATATTCTTGAGGCTTATTTTGGGAGCCCTGGAGCCAGGCACAGGAAGTGCTAAATCAGCCTAAATAAAAATGTTTCATTTAGCCAGGCATAGTGGCACATGCCTGTAACCCCAGCACTTGGGAGACTGAGGCAGGGGGATTATTGAGAGTTCAAGAACAGCCTGGGCTACAAAGTGACCTCAAAGCCAGCCTGAACTGCATAGTGAGACCCTGTCTCAATAAGAGCAAAGAAATTTTAAAAATAAAGTTTCAGTCACAAACTTTCTCTAGCTGAGTATCTGGGTTCTAATCCAAGATTCTCATTAACTGCTTGGCTCTGGTTTTCCTGGGCCCCAAAGTTTTTACCACTCCACTGGCAGCATTATCCCTTTTTCAACTCCCCACAATGTCCTGTCTCCTTGACCAGAACTACCCTTGTTTCTACTGGATCTGGTGAGCTCTACGGGCCTGAAAGCTAGGCTAATGGGTGTCTGATCCTCCTTCCTCCCAGCTCATACCCTTTGCTTCTCTGCTTGCTGCTCCTAATGGCAGTTAAAGGAGGATACAGCTCCCATGACCCCTTCTCTCATAGCTCTCCGCCTTTCAATGCTGTTCTTGCAGAGGGCCTGTCATTGTTCTGGAAAAGTGTAGATAGGCAGCCATAATGCCCCTTTCTGTGGGTCCCTTCTTAGAGAACCCTTCATTTTCCACTACCAGAGATACACACCAGAATCTCAGCTGGAGTTATACTCAATTACTCCTCTTACTTCAGCATCTCCTCCACGGACCACCCCTGCTAGCTCCGTCTCCCTGTCACAGAATCTCACCTCTCTTCTCCATCCTGTGGCTAAAATCCTAGTACTCCCTTCCTTGTTCTCCCAGAGCCACCTAACCAGCTTCACCTGCGTGAGGCTTGTGAAGGGCCATTGGGGAGGGGCTGCAACTCTGCTCTTTCTTCACTGAGGCCCTCAATAGGTAGGCTATGTGTTGTGCTTAATCTCACCTCAGTGAATAGCCACTTGGTATTCTGAACAGTTCTGTCTTTTCTGTAATCTGTTTTGTATGCTCTTGGTTAGAGGCTTCTAAACTCCCCAGATGCTGAGAATTTCATCCTTGGGAGTGGGGTGACAGCTATCAGGTCCTTCTCCAGATCCTAGGGGTTGGTCTATCAATCTTGCTTGGTCAGGGCTAGCCTACCAAGCTCAGAGTGACTAATGTGTCTCTGCACAATGTAAGACACTGTCTGAATGTAGGACAGGCCCCTCACAGCTCTCCCAAATGCCTATGAGACCTACTGGGGCCTGCCTTAGGCCAATGTTACAATCAGAGCCAGCCTACTGGGAATTTTTCACATCTCTGAGCCATAAAAGCCTGTTTCCTTTGATTCTAGAGCATATAATAGAAGGAGCAGTAAAATTATACTTTTTCCCCCTTTGAAACTTCCCTAAAAAATATACTGCTTCTGAGTTATTTCATAATTAAAAGTTAATTCTTTTTTTTTTTTTTTTCCTGCCAAGCCTTATTCCAGAGGGGCTCAGTCCTTCTTGGCAGCTGCCTTCCTCATGGTGGCCAGCACGTTGCTCAGCTCCTCACACTTCCTCTTGGCGCGGATGTGCGTCCCCACCCTTTTCTTGATGAACTTGAGGGCGCGCTTGTCCTTGGAGACCTTGAGCAGCTCCATGGCGCGCCACTCATAGGGGGCGAAGCCGCACACTTCCCGGATCATGTCCCGCACGAACTTGGTGTGTTTGGTGAGACGTCCGCGGCGGCGGCGGCTGTGCCTCGGTGTGCTCACATTCTTAGTCACCTTGTGGCCCTTGTTGAGGCCCACGGCCATGGGATAGCGGAGGGCCATGGCTACTCTTTTTCAATGGTTGCTGTGGCGGAAGGCTGTTAATTCTAACTTTTTAAAAACCTATTTATTTTTTTGAAAGTTAATGGTACCCTGGATTAATTTTTCATTAACTTTCATTTCAAAATAGAGTGTGTGAAGAAATTAGTGGAATTAGAACTGATATAATAATATTGCCAGTTTTTCACTTACTATAATTGCCAAAATTCTAGCTGTCCCCTCAAGAAGTCCAGTCTCCCTGCCTGGGCAAAGGGCCTGGCACCTGAGATGTGTGGGGCTTGGCTGGATTATAGGCAAAGGCTACAGCAGGGGCATCAAGTATGAAATCCAACTGCCCCTTGCTGCTCCTCAGGCTACTACTGAGGTGGTGACCTTGGGGACCCTGTCTCCTCCCATGAAGAGTGGGACAGTAATGCTCTCGTTGGGTTTCTGTGAGAGCTCGCAGAGATGCTGTGCCTCACATACTTATGCTTCAGCCAGATTAGAACCAAAGTGTCCTAGAGAGGAGTTTCCATACAGGAGAAAAAGGAGTCCTCACAAGCTCCTCACTCTGGGCATGAATGGGTACTTTGGCCAGTGAGAGTGCTTGGTCTCATGCAGGACACCACACAGGGAATTTGTAGATCTGGGGCCTGAGAAGAACGCAGCCAAGCCCACAAGGACACATGCTGGGGACACCAGGAAGGGCTCCTCTATGGCAGGTAAGAGGCCAGGAAAGAAGACCTGAGACAGGGACATAAGTCTGTGTCACAGTTAGAGAATAGCAGCACAAGTGGCAGCTGTGTCTTAATCTTTACCTCTGAAATCCTTTCCTCTGGGGTTCTCATTCCTTGTCCTCTTTTGGGGTAGTGGCAATGAGTGTGAGCCCATGGGGTATAAAAGTAAGATAGTGTTGGCATAACCAGACTGGCACACACCTCAGCACTACAAATAAAGAGAATGCATAGACTGCAGACTCCTTAAGATAGTGGCACACACACAGGACTCACCAGCTGTTGGTTCCAGAATGCAGCAGGTCTCACACATTGCTCAAGTCACCACTACCTCTATCAGTAAACTCATTTCCCCTCTCTCACCTTAAACAGTAGTATGCTTGCCCCACAGCCTAAAATCCAAGCACTCTGGGAGGCTGAAGGAGGAGGACTGCAAGTTCAAAGCCAGCCTGGGCAATTTAGTGGCTTAGTGAGACACTGTCTCAAAATTAAAAAAAAAAAAAAAAAATGTAAAAGACTGGAGACATAGCTCAGTGCAAAGGTAATCCTAAGTACCAAACAACAACAAAAGCCCCCCAGTGATGCCCTGAGCTTCTGCACTCCCTCTATGCATACAGGCCTACATTTCCTACCTTCCTGCACCCAGAAAGGACAGGTCAGAGGGAGGCAAGGCAGAAGCGGCTATCAGAGTCTCCTCTGTCCATTCTCTGTCCATTTGCTGAAGGGACCAAACAAGGAGTTGGAGGCAGCATTTTCCCCAGGGCTGAGGCAGGCTGAAGCTCAGTGAAGGAAAATATGGGAGAATATGCAAGTAACTGAATGAATGAGTGAAGGAAATAAACACTTCAGTGAGGGAAAGAATGAAGGAATGAAGAATTGAGTAGAAGAACAAAGGGCAAAGGTGGGAGCATGTGTGGAGGATAGAGATAGAGAGAATAAAGTCATTGAATGCCAGCAACTGTGTTTCAGCCCTCAGGCATGAGATTTGTACTGGCCTGCCTTCTACCCATCCCTATTCCCGTCTCCAGAGGTCCTGGGCCCTGGGCCTCTCCTGGATCTGTCCCTGCCTGCCCCAATGCCTTGTACCCTTCTCCTCCCACTTTCAGAGGCTGGGGAAGGGCCTAGGAGGCAGACCAGTGTTTATTTTTAGCTCTCTTGCCACCTTCCCTTTCTCATTGCTTGCTACAGCAAAGCCAGGAGCAAAAGAGCCAACCAGGCATGCTTACTGCATCTTGACTGCCTCCATGAAATAAACCTATGAAGCAACAAAGGCCCTAGGGAACATGTGACCGCAAGTGACATGTTCTGCTGAGAGATACCTGGGGGCTCAGATAAGCAGGCCTCTGTAGGGACTGGTCCCAAGCCCTTGGCATTGGATCTGTGATCTGCCTGCTCTGTCAGACCACTCTCCTAAGGTGCCGTCACCTCATTTAGATCAGTGGTGGTGAACCTAGGGCACTTGTGCTGCAGCAAGGTATTTGTTATCATTGAAAGCTCTAGAAGTTTCACCATCATCGATTTAGATTATTATTTCTGGGGTAGGACCTATAAGGCAGAGGTAGGGTCAGGATTTGCCAAGCCAGAAAGGTGAGCCAGTACAGATGATACAACTTGCCAAAGATGGATATATCCCAACCAAGGTAAGAGTCATGGCAGCATTTCTTGGGTCTCCTGTCTAGGCTGAGATCCTAACCCCCTTATGCCAATCCTCAGGTTAAGGAAGGAGCTTTTGTTCATTTCCAGAACCTTCTCTTGGCCTCTGCCTAAGGTCTTTTTACCATCCACAGTCTTCTGGGACAAAGTGGGGTTTCCATTATGTGCCCAGGTAATGCTGGGGTGAATGGGGCAGATAGAATTTCAGAATCAGCCCCTCTGCTCTCCCATGCCATGTCTGTCACAGGGCTTTGTCTCATTCTGTGCAGCATTCTCAGCAGGCACCTCAAGGATGGACCCAACAGGCCAAGTAAGCCAAAGATTCATCCTGTGACCAGTACTTACTGCTTCACAGAGATTTGTATGGGGGACAATGGAGCATCAGATAAAGTACAAAGAAGTTGGAATGGAGCTAGGGTCAGGCTCTTAAGGGAGCAAACTGAATAAATGGAGGCTTTCTAAATGATCCCCCTCCACTATTCCATCCCTCTTCCTAGGACATGTGAATGGGCTGGGGACTCTGAGAAGAGCAGGTGTGTCAGCCTCAGGAAGCAGCCTGCACCCCTGAGTAACAAGCCTATTGCCAGGCTGATCTCTTAATACACCAACGTCCAACTCCATGCCCACCCTGACTTCTCCTGAGGCCTAGGGGAGGGGTAAATGGATCTCTGTAGTCAGCAAACCAGGCTAGATACCCTGGGGCTCAGGGGATTCAAAACTTTGCACATGGGCTAGGATCTGACTGGGACCTGGAGACAACATGTGTGAGCCACCCCTTTCCCTTTGTGCTGGCTGTGGTTCTTATAATAGCCCATTCTAGTGGCAGGGCTGCTGGTGGAAGCCTGAGCATCTAGGTACCTAGGTGAGCAGCAACAAGAAGTTGCTCTAAGCTTCTTCACCCAAGGGGCAAGAACAAATAGAAGTATCCAGGTCCTTGTTCTGGACTATACTATAACCCTCATTCCCCAACAGTTAGAGGAGGTCCTCAAATTCTGACCCTGGAAGAGAATCCTGGACCATCATCAGCCTCAGACCTAGTTCAGGAATCACTCTCTCAGGGCTCACAGATACCCAAACCAAGGCCAATGCAGCTCTTTGGAGTTAGGGACTTAGTTATGGCTTGTGGTATTCTGAGGGTTTTACCATTGGTACCTGGGTCATGCCTATAAAGACCTGATTGGGAGTGTGGGCCAGAAAGGCTGCGTGCAGGTCCCTCTCTGTCTAGGTCATGGCTGTGTCTTTATCCCTCAGCCCTAGGCCTGAAACAGTGGCTTACCCTGAGAGTGGGGTCTGATAGCTAAGAACTGATGCTGGTCCCACTCTGGAAGAAACAGTCCAGAGCCCTAAGAACAGAGAAGGTCTCTGTCCAAGGCTCTTTGCTGTTATTAGACAAGATGACTTGGACTGGGACTATAAGCAGGGAAGATTGCTCAGCCCTGAACCCAAATAGGGCCTTTCCCAGACAGCCTCTCCAGACCTTAGGTGTGTGCCCTTGCCCAGAACAGCCCTTACTTGAAGAAAGACAGACTAGCATGGATGTCAGACCTGAGAGCTAGGAAGCAGAGGAAGAGCAGCATCTCCATGTCCAGCTGCTACTTCTGTTCTGCAGGGGGTCCTAACTTCTGGACTCCCCACCAGCCTTTGAGGGGTGGTCTGCTTCCTGGAATCAGGACCCCAACTTTTCCTTGCACTGCTGTGGCTTCCTCTCACCCATAGTTTTCATTTTCCAGACCAATGAAAAGTTCTCTATTGGTTTCGAAAAGGATCCTTCTTTTTTGGCAATTTGTTATGTTCATCTTAAGCATGGAGAAGTTTATCATTTGGAGCAATAATACATCTATTGATCTTTCTCTCCTTATGTTGTTGGTGTCATGCTTTGAAAAACCTTCTCTTCCCTAAGGGTACAAAAATCATTATGAAAATACTCTTTGAGAATTCCACTGTCTTTGTGATTCTAATCAACATCCCTCTTGTTTCCTTACAGAAAACAGAGTGGCTCTGTCTGAACTGCCAAACTAAGAGGCTGCTGGAGGGCAGCCTGGGAGAACAGACTCCACTGCCACTGCCCACCTCACAGCATCCCCCTACAGGGGCTCCTCACCATGCAGCCGGAGCAGCCCCTTTGAAGCAGAAAGGGGCACAGGGGCTGGTTCAGCCATCGGGCCCCCTGCCTGCCAAGGCCAGCCCCTTGCCCACCAAGGCCACCCCTCAACCCACTAAGGCCAGCCCTCAGCCTGCCAAGGCCAGCCCCCTACCTACCAAGGCCAGCTCTCAGCCCACCAAGGCTAGCCCCCAGGCCAAGACCTTCAAGGCTTCTGAATCCAGCAAGACCACAAGCAGTGCCCAGGAAAAGAAGACAGGAGTACCTGCTAAAGCTGAGCCCATACCGAAGCCACCTCCAGAGACAACTCTGCCCCCAGGGACTCCTAAAGTAAAGAGTGGAATAAGGAGGATTGAACGTGCCAGCCCTGCTGTCAAGGCTGTTCCAGAAGCCGCCAAGAGTGGGGAGACAGAGGTCAGTCCCATTGACTTCCCAGAGACTCTGGCTTTTAAGATAGCACAGGCTGGGGAAGGGCTTGCCTATGTGGAGATCTAAGGATGTAGGTCACAGAGGAGAGCATAGATACCCTCAGAATGAAAATCAGATGAGGCTTGGGTAGGCCTTGAGAACCTGAGGTAAAGACTAGTTCCATGCCTGGCATTTTGTTGGGTACTCTGCTAAGTTTTGACACCATTTGATCTAGGAAATTTTCTCTTTGATGATTTAGGCCTGCTTGAGACTAGTCATAGGACCTGTAAGTTATTCAAGGTCAGAAAGGGGGAGGTAGGCACTAAGCCTTTGGAGTTAGAGAAGCTTTTACCCAGGGCCCTGAGGTTAAGATAGAGATTGCAAATCAGTGTCTGCTTCTCACCCTGCTGCAGGAGCCATTGGGCAAGCCTTACTCTCAGGACCTGTCTCGGAGCCCACAAAGCCTCAGTGACACAGGCTATTCCTCTGACGGCATCTCCAGCTCCCAGAGTGAGATTACTGGTGTTGTACAGCAGGAAGTGGAGCAGCTGGACAGTGCAGGAGTGACAGGGCCACGCCCACCCAGCCCCTCAGAACTCCATAAGGTGGGGAGCAGCATGCGGCCTTTGCTGGAGACCCAGGCTGCAGCTCCCAGTGTTGAGCGGAGCAAACCGCCCTGCAGCATGACCAGTGAGGAGCAGAAGCGGCGGCCCCACTCCTTGTCCATCATGCCTGAGGCCTTTGACTCTGATGAGGAGCTGGAAGATATCCTAGAAGAAGATGAAGACTCTCTGGAGTGGGGGCACCAGAGGGAACAGCGAGACACAGCTGAGTCCTCAGATGACTTTGGCAGCCAGCTGAGGCATGACTATGTGGAAGACAGCAGTGAAGGCGGCCTGTCTCCACTTCCACCCCAGCCCCCACTTCGGGCAGCAGAGCTGACAGATGAAGAGTTTATGCGACGACAGATTCTAGAGATGAGTGCTGAGGAGGACAACCTAGAAGAGGATGACACTGCTGCCTCAGGGCGTGGCCTAGTCAAACATGGCACCCAGAAGGGGGGCACCAGGCCTAGACCCGAACCTGGTCAAGAACCAGCATCACTTCCCAAGAGGCGTCTACCCCACAATGCCACCACAGGCTATGAGGAACTGTTGTCAGAGGGGGGGCCTGCAGAACCCACCGACAGTGGTGGGACCCTGCAGGGTGGGCTGCGCCGCTTCAAGACGATTGAGCTCAATAGTTCAGGCAGCTACAGCCATGAACTAGATCTGAGCCAAGGCTCTGATGCCAGTCTAGACAGGGAGCCTGAGTTAGAGATGGAGAGCCTGACAGGCTCACCTGAGGATCGCTCCCGTGGAGAGCACTCCTCCACACTGCCTGCCTCTACACCCAGCTATACCTCAGGCACCTCTCCCACCTCCCTGTCTTCATTAGAGGAGGATAGTGACAGCAGCCCTAGCCGCAGGCAGCGGCTAGAAGAAGCAAAGCAGCAACGCAAAGCCCGGCATCGCTCCCATGGGCCCCTGCTGCCCACCATTGAGGACTCCTCAGAGGAGGAGGAGTTGAGAGAGGAAGAGGAGCTGCTGCGTGAGCAGGAGAAGATGCGTGAGGTGGAGCAGCAACGGATCCGCAGCACAGCCCGCAAGACTCGGCGTGACAAGGAAGAGCTGAGGGCCCAGAGGCGCCGTGAGCGCTCCAAGACACCACCCAGTAACCTGTCACCCATTGAGGATGCATCTCCCACAGAGGAGCTGAGGCAGGCAGCTGAAATGGAGGAGCTCCACCGCTCCTCTTGCTCTGAGTACTCACCTTCACCTTCCCTTGACTCAGAGGCTGAGGCCCTGGATGGTGGCCCTAGCCGGCTGTACAAGTCGGGCAGTGAGTACAACCTGCCCACCTTCATGTCCCTCTATTCCCCCACTGAGATGCCTTCAGGCAGCTCTACCACTCCCAGCTCTGGACGACCCCTCAAGAGTGCAGAGGAAGCCTATGAGGAGATGATGAGAAAAGCTGAACTGCTACAGAGGCAGCAGAGCCAGGGAGTAGGGGTTCACGGGCCCCACAGTGGCCCCTCTCAGCCCACAGGCCCCCGCAGTCAGGCGTCTTTCGAATACCAAAAGGCCTCAGATCATGAGTATGGCAGGGCAGCTCAGTCTGCACCAGAGGGCACAGCAGCTAGCCTGGGAACAGCTGTGTATGAGGAGATCCTTCAGACATCACAGAGCATAGCCCGCATGCGGCAGGCCTCCTCCCAGGACATGGCCTTTCCTGAGGACAAGAAGCAGGAAAAGCAGTTTCTGAATGCTGACAGTGCATACATGGACCCAATGAAGCAAAATGGTGGCCCACTTACCCCTGGCACTAGTCCCACCCAGCTTGCTGCACCTGTGTCTTTCACCACTTCCACCTCCTCAGATAGCAGTGGAGGGCGAGTTATTCCTGATGTCCGTGTCACTCAGCATTTTGCAAAGGAGCCTCAGGACCCTCTCAAGCTACATAGCAGCCCCACCTTTCCAGGCTCAGCCTCCAAGGAAGTAGGCACATCCTTTTCCCAGGGCCCTGGGACTCCAGCCACCACAGCTGTAGCTCCTGGTCCAGCTAGCCTGCCACAAGGGTATATGACTCCAACCTCCCCAGCTGGCTCTGAGCATACTCCTTCACCATCTTCCACAACCTATAGCTATGGACAGAGCCCAACCACTGCAAACTATGGGTCCCAAACTGAGGAGCTCCCTGAGGCCTCCAGTGGCCCTGCTGCAGGCAGCCGGGCTGCTAGAGAGAAAGCCCTCGGTGGGACTGACGGTGAAGCTGGCCCTCCCCATGCTTCCAGGGAGTATTCCTACTTTGCAGAGCCTAGCCCACCTCTTTCTCCATCTTCTCCCTCAGAGAGCCCTACATTCTCTCCAGGGAAGCTGGGCCCAAGAGCCACGGCAGAGTTCTCTACACAGACGCCAAGCCCAACCCCTTCCTTAGAAATGCCTCGGAGCCCTGGTACCCCCACCTCTACCTCTATGGTAGCCCAGGGCACACAAACACCACACAGACCCAGCACGCCTCGCCTGGTGTGGCAGCAGACTTCTCAAGAGGCTCCTTTTATGGTGATCACACTGGCATCAGATGCCTCCAGTCAGACCAGGATGGTACATGCCAGTGCCTCCACCTCCCCACTGTGCTCACCTACTGACAGCCAGCCCACCACCCACAGCTACAGCCAGACAACACCTCCAAGTGGGTCTCAGCTGCCCCCAGAGCCACCTGGCTTCCCACGAGCTCCAAATGCTGGTGTAGAAGGTCCCCTGGCACTATATAGCTGGGGCACCCTCCCTGCTGAAAACATTTCTCTATGTCGGATCTCCTCTGTCCCTGGAACATCTAGAGTTGAGCCAGGGCCCAGGCCCCCTGGCAGTGCAGTGGTAGACCTCCGCACAGCTGTCAAGCCCACACCTATCATCCTCACTGACCAGGGTATGGATCTGACCTCTCTTGCCGTGGAAGCAAGGAAGTATGGCCTTGCCCTAGATCCCATCCCAGGACGGCAGTCAACTGCCGTGCAGCCTTTGGTTATCAACCTCAATGCCCAGGAGCAGACCCATGCCTTCCTGGGCACTGCCACTACTGTAAGCATTACCATGGCCTCCACTGTGCTCATGACTCAGCAGAAGCAGCCTATGGTGTATGGAGACCCATTTCAAAGTCGACTTGACTTTGGCCAGGGTTCAGGTAGTCCTGTGTGCCTAGCCCAGGTCAGGCAAGTTGAACAGGCTGTCCAGACAGCCCCATACAGAGGTGGATCCCGGGGAAGGCCCAGGGAGGCCAAGTTTGCCAGGTATAATTTGCCCAACCAGGTAGCACCTCTGGCCAGGAGGGATGTGTTAATCACTCAGATGGGAACTACCCAGAGTGTTAGCCTCAAGTCAGGTCCAGTGTCAGAGCCTAGTGCTGAACCCCACCGGGCCATTCCTACAGAGCTACGGTCACATGCTCTGCCAGGTGCCAGGAAGCCACACGCTGTGCTGGTGCAGATGGGTGAAGGCACAGCAGGCACTGTGACCACACTGCTCCCAGAGGAACCAACAAGTGCCCTGGATCTCACTGGGATGAGGCCTGAGAGCCAGCTGGCATGCTGTGACATGGTCTACAAGTTCCCCTTTGGCAGTAGCTGCACTGGTACTTTTCATCCTGCCCCCAGTGCACCTGAGAAGAGTGTGGCAGATCCTGCCCTGCCTGGCCAGAGCAGTGGCCCCTTCTACAGTTCTCGGGACCCTGAGCCTTCTGAGCCCCCCACCTACCGAGCACAAGGGGTAGTGGGGCCTGCACCCCATGAAGAGCAGAGACCCTACCCACAAGGCCTCCCTGGCAGGCTGTATTCCTCCATGTCTGACACCAATTTGGCTGAGGCTGGCCTCAACTACCATGCCCACAGGCTTGGGCAGCTCTTTCAGGGCCCTGGACGAGACTCAGCCATGGACCTCAGCTCCCTGAAGCACTCCTACAGCTTAGGTTTTGCAGATGGGCGCTACCTAGGACAGGGCTTACAGTATGGCTCATTCACAGACCTGCGCCACCCCACAGACCTTTTGGCTCATCCGCTTCCCATACGGCGCTATAGCTCAGTGTCGAACATCTACTCAGACCATAGATATGGGCCACGGGGAGAAGCAGGTGGCTTCCAGGAGGCCAGCCTTGCCCAGTACAGTGCCACCACAGCCCGTGAGATCAGTCGCATGTGTGCTGCACTCAATTCCATGGACCAGTATGGTGGGCGGCATGGCAGTGGTGGCACTGGCTCTGACCTTGTGCAGTACCAGCCCCAGCATGGGCCTGGGCTCAGTGCTCCACAGGGTCTGGCTCCCCTCAGACCTGGGCTTCTTGGGAACCCCACTTTCCCAGAGGGCCATCCAAGCCCCAGGAGCCTGGCCCAATATGGCCCTGCAGCAGGCCAAGGAACAGCAGTTAGACAACTGCTGCCATCCACAGCCACTGTGCGTGCAGCTGATGGGATGATCTACTCAACTATCAACACTCCAATTGCTGCAACCCTGCCCATCACCACCCAGCCAGCCTCAGTACTGAGGCCCATGGTACGTGGAGGCATATACAGGCCTTATATGTCTGGTGGAGCCACAGCTGTGCCACTCACCAGCCTCACACGAGTACCAATGATTGCCCCCCGGGTGCCTCTTGGGCCTGCAGGGCTGTACCGATATCCTGCACCAAGTAGATTCCCCATTTCTTCAAGTGTCCCACCTGCTGAGGGGCCAGTTTATCTGGGGAAACCTGCTGCTAAGGCCCCAGGGGTGGGGGGCACCCCCAGGCCAGAGTTGCCAGCAGGGGCTGCCCGAGAAGAACCTCATTCTACAGCTGCCCCTGCTGCTAAGGAGTCTGCAACGGCTCCAGCACCTGCCCCACCACCTGGCCAGAAACCACCAGGAGATGGTGCTGCTGGTGGAGGTGGCAGTGTGGTCCCTGGCCGGCCTGGCCTTGAGAAGGAGGAAGCATCTCAGGAAGAGCGGCAACGAAAGCAACAGGAACAACTACTACAGCTGGAGAGAGAGAGGGTAGAACTGGAGAAGCTTCGACAGCTGCGGCTGCAAGAGGAACTAGAACGGGAGAGGGTGGAACTCCAGAGGCACCGTGAGGAAGAGCAGTTGCTGGTGCAGCGGGAATTGCAGGAATTGCAGACCATCAAGCACCATGTGCTACAGCAGCAGCAGGAAGAGCGCCAGGCTCAGTTTGCTCTGCAGCGAGAGCAACTGGCACAGCAGCGTCTTCAGCTGGAGCAGATTCAGCAGCTACAGCAGCAGCTACAGCAGCAGCTAGAAGAACAGAAGCAGCGACAGAAGGCCCCCTTTCCTGCGGTCTGTGAGGCTCCTGGCCGAGGGCCTACCCCAGCTGCCCCTGAAGTAGCCCAGAATGGCCAGTACTGGCCACCCTTGACCCACACTGCTTTTCTTGCTGTAGCAGGGCCTGAGGGGTCTGGGCAGTCCCGTGAGCCCATTCTGCAGCGGGGCCTCCCTAGCTCTGCCTCAGACCTGTCACTGCAGACTGAGGAGCCATGGGAGGCAACCCGCAGTGGCATCAAGAAGCGGCATTCCATGCCCCGCTTGAGGGATGCTTGTGAGCCAGAGTCAGCACCTGAGCCTTATGTGGTCAGGAGAATTGCAGACAGCAGTGTGCAGACAGATGACGAGGATGGTGAGGGCCGATATCTCCTGACTCGACGGCGCAGGACACGGCGGAGCACTGACTGCAGTGTGCAGACTGATGATGAGGACAATGCTGAATGGGAGCAGCCAGTGCGCCGCCGAAGGTCTCGTGTTTCCCGGCACTCTGACTCAGGCTCTGACAGCAAGCATGATGCCACTGCCTCATCATCCACTGCCGCCACCACTGCTAGGGCCATGAGCAGTGTGGGCATCCAAACAATCAGTGACTGCTCTGTGCAGACGGAGCCTGACCAGCTGCCCAGGGTCTCTCCAGCCATCCACATCACAGCTGCCACTGACCCCAAAGTGGAAATTGTCAGGTACATATCAGCACCAGAGAAGACTGGGCATGGGGAGAGCCTGGCCTGCCAGACGGAGCCAGATGGACAGGCGCAGGGTGTGGCTGGGCCACAGCTTGTAGGCCCAACTGCCATCAGCCCCTACCTGCCTGGCATTCAGATTGTCACCCCAGGGTCCCTGGGGAGATTTGAAAAAAAGAAGCCAGATCCTCTGGAGATTGGGTACCAGGCCCATCTGCCCTTGGAGTCACTCTCCCAGCTTGTAAGTCGCCAACCTCCCAAGTCCCCCCAGGTCCTCTACTCACCAGTCTCACCCCTGTCCCCACATCGGCTCCTGGACACCTCCTTTGCTTCCAGTGAGAGGCTGAACAAGGCTCATGTGAGTCCACAGAAGCACTTCACAACTGACAGCACCCTCCGCCAGCAGACGCTGCCTCGGCCCATGAAGACCCTGCAACGGTCCTTGTCTGACCCTAAGCCCCTCAGCCCCACCGCCGAAGAGTCTGCCAAAGAGAGATTCTCCCTCTACCAGCACCAGGGGGGACTGGGTAGCCAGGTATGGGCACAGGGGCTTGTGCAGGGTGGGACAGGGGTCTCTGCCTAGCCTGAGGGCCCCCAGAGGGAGGGGTTTCTCCTGGGGTGGGGAACGGAATTACTCCTGATTCCAGAGGCCCAGGGGAAGGAGTGGAGCAGTAGACCTCAATACACATTCGACAGAGCCCACAGCTTGGCAAGGACAACCTGGGCAAAGACACATACATGGCCCTCACCCCACCCCCATCATCCATCTAGACACCTCCCAAGAAATTTCCCCTCACCCAGCCTATCCTCTCACTATCAGTAGTCTAGCCCCACTGCCTATCCCTCAGTTCTCACTTCCCATCTGGGCACCTTTTACTCCAGACCTTGTTAGTTTGCAGATGTTTGTTTCCTGGGAAACAAGGACCATGGTTCTGATATGGCAGCTCCCCACTCACTAGCCCTAGCCATGCTCTTACCATCCCACAGCAAAACAGAGCCCCTATCCTGTAATCCGAGACCCATCCCAGAGGGTTTCATTGTGTTGTCTGCATCATCGTGCTCCCTGCCCCCAGTAGCTCTGCTCACATACATATCTACTCCTCTAGAAAGAAGCTCCTTGTGCGGCCAACGACATGCTGGACTATGAGAGGTAACCTGGCTGCGAGCTGTGGTGGTAGGGAGGATAGGGTTGTGAAGGCCTAATGCCAAGGACTTTGAGTTCTGGGCTTTTCCTAGAGGCCCTGGGACCCTCTGGAAGTTTTAGGCAGTAAAGTCAGGATGAGACAGGTGTCTTAGATATTCTGGGAAACAATGTGGGTTAGTGGGCTGAAGGAAGAGATCTTAGAAGAGGAGCCAAGGGCATTGAGAAATATCTTTTCCCATTTTCTGGTTTTGATGCAGAAAAGAAAAAAGTAGAGCCCAAGGTGAGGTTTGTGGAAATGATTGTTGTGGAGGTGGGGAATGAAGAACCTCAAGCATGTAGATAGGATGGCATCAGGAGTTGGAACTAACAGAAAGGACCAACCAGAGAGGCAGGCATCCATGTCCCATGCCTCACATATGAGTCCAGGCTGTGATGGGCCCTGGTGGGGTGTGGCCAAAATAAGAAAACACAGACAACAGAATGAGGCGTTTAAAAAGCTGAATTTATTCTGCTAAAGGCCCTTATTTGTTCTGAGACTTGGGAGGATCCTATCATGTGATAAAAGTTACTTGGCAAGGTCAAAAGAAAGAATCTTAGTGTCATCCAATTTGGGTGGTCCAAATTGAGGGAATAGGAGCTGGTGGGCAATGGGAGCACCTACCAAGCAGTGTGCTGTTCAGGCAGCAGGTGTGCCAGGTGAGGAGGGTGCAGTAGAGGGTACCACTATGAAACTATGCTTCTGGAGAGAGGCCTGCTGGTGGTTCCAGAAAACAGCTGGCCAACAGAGGGGTGCCAAGAGGGTTTGGCAGAGTTTAGTCCAAGGCCACTAGAGGAGTAGGGGGGCAGGTAGCTGTATAAGCCACTCTAGAGAGGAGTGGGGCAAGGAGCAGGAAAGAACTCAGCCTACAACACCTAACTCAGGCTGCAACACCAGCATGTACCCTTTCCCGTGATCCTCTAAGGATCTGTTAGGCCCAGGAACCACTCTACAGCACTCCTATTCATGCCTTCCACTGCCACTAGGCCCCATGGGTGTCTAGATCCCAACCCCAGAGCCAGACTTGTTTTATCCTCATCTCCATGAGAGGTGAGGCCATTAGAGAAGTGCAGAGGTTCTCGAAGCTGCCATGTATGGAAACCAGGACAAAAGGCAATTGCCCTTTCCCACCTGGCCCCTGCCTAGAGCCCTGGGAAAGAGAAGGACTATAAACCAAAACTGGTGGATGGGTAAGGTCAGACTTTGAGGCTACCTAGTAAATCAGGGAACCGATAGAGCAGAGTCCATTTCCTGGGTTCTTTTGCCCCATGCCCTGTCTAGTCACCCACACCTTGGGTCTCAGTGCTGCCCACCCTTCCCTTTGTCTCAGGTGTCGGCGCTGCCACCCAACGGCCTGGCCCGCAAGGTGAAGCGGACACTGCCCAGCCCGCCTCCAGAGGAGGCTCACCTTCCCCTGGCTGGCCAGGCCCCCCCACAGCTATATGCAGCCAGCCTGCTGCAGCGAGGGCTAGTGGGGCCTACCACCGTCCCTGCCACCAAGGCCAGCCTGCTTCGGGAGCTGGACCGGGACCTACGCCTGGTGGAGCATGAGTCCACCAAGCTGCGCAAGAAACAGGCGGAGCTGGACGAGGAGGAGAAGGAAATTGACGCCAAGCTCAAGTACCTAGAGCTGGGCATCACACAGCGCAAAGAGTCTCTGGCCAAAGACCGGGGTGGCCGTGAATGTTCACCCTTGCGCAGCCTTGGTGCACATCGAGATTACCTGTCAGACAGCGAGCTCAACCAGCTGCGGCTACAGGGGTGTACCACTCCCGCTGGCCAGTATTCAGGCTTCCCAGCCACAGCCGCTGCACCAGCCACCCCGTCAGCCCCCACTGCATTCCAGCAGCCCCGATTCTCTCCTCCAGCCCCACAGTACACTGCAGGCAATATTGGGCCAACTCAGAATGAACTCCTAGCCCACCAGGCACCCACCTACCCTGGCCCCAGCACATACCCAGCACCTGCCTTTCCTGCCAGTACCACTTATCCAGCTGAGCCTGGCCTGCCAAATCAGCAGGCTTTCTGCCCCTCAGGTCACTATACAGCCCAAACACCCATGCCAACCACACAGAGCACCCTTTTGCCTATCCCAGCTGACAGCCGTGCACCTCACCAGAAGCCACGCCAAACATCATTAGCTGACTTGGAGCAGAAGGTGCCCACCAACTATGAGGTGATTGCCAGCCCTGTTGTGGCCATGTCATCAGCCCCCTCTGAAACCAGCTATAGTGGACCAGCAGTGAGCAGCAGCTATGAGCAGGGCAGGACCCCTGAACTTCCCCGGGCCAGTGACCGTGGCAGTGTGAGCCAGAGCCCAGTCCCCACCTACCCCTCTGACTCACACTACACCAGTCTGGAGCAGAATGTTCCTCGAAACTATGTGATGATCAACGATATCAGTGAGCTGACCAAGGACAGCACTGTCCCTGATAGCCAGCGGATGGAGTCTTTGGGTCCAGGCAGCAGTGGGCGTTCTGGAAAGGAGTCTGGAGAACCAGGTGCCCTGGAGGGCCCCACACTGCCCTGCTGCTATGCCAGAGGAGAGGAGGAATCTGAGGAGGACTCATACGATTCCCGTGGAAAGCCTAGCCATCACCACCGGAGTGTGGAGAGCAATGGACGACCTGCTAGTACCCACTACTACAGTGACAGCGACTACAGGCATGGGACTCGAGGAGAGAAGTATGGTCCAGGGCTCATGGGGCCCAAACATCCCTCCAAGAGTCTGGCCCCAGCTGCCATCTCCTCAAAACGAAGCAAACATCGGAAGCAGGGAATGGAGCAAAAAATCTCCAAGTTTTCACCTATTGAAGAGGCCAAGGATGTGGAGTCAGATCTGGCCTCTTATCCCCCACCTGCTGTTAGTAGCAGCCTGGCCTCTCGGGGCAGGAAGTTTCAGGATGAAATCACCTATGGGCTCAAAAAGAATGTGTATGAGCAGCAGAGATACTATGGGGTGTCCAGCCGGGATGCAGCAGAGGAAGATGACCGCATGTATGGGGGGAGCAGCCGGTCTCGGGTGGGGTCTGCATACAGTGGAGAAAAGCTGTCTAGCCATGATTACAGTGGCCGAGGCAAGGGGTATGAACGGGAACGGGAGGCCGTGGAGCGACTTCAGAAAGCAGGCTCCAAGCCCTCATCACTGAGCATGACCCATGGCCGGATGCGGCCACCCATGCGGAGCCAAGCCTCTGAGGAGGAGAGCCCTGTCAGCCCCATGGGGCGGCCTCGCCCTGCTGGGGGCACACTGCCTCCTGGCGATACCTGTCCACAGTTCTGCTCCAGCCACTCCATGCCTGATGTCCAGGAGCATATCAAGGATGGACCTCGAGCCCACTTGTATAAACGTGAGGAGGGCTACATCCTGGATGATTCTCACTGCGTGGTTTCTGACAGTGAAGGTAATGGCAGCTGGGGGTGATTTCTGCTGATGCTCAGCCCTAGGGGGCCTGCCCACCTGTAGGCCCCAGGCCCCCAGTGTCCCAGCAGGGTTGGCCTGGCAACTCTACCAGTAGGCCCTGCTGCAGGCTGCCCTTACTTTTCTCACTTGTGCCCTGCTAGCTGGCTAAGGGAGGGAGGGCTGGGACCTAGTGATCTGCTTGTGGCTGTGGTGCCCACTCTCGTCTCCTTGCATGGCTTCAGCTAGGCCTGCCCCTGAGGCCAGCCCAGGGGTTGATGGTGTTCTGTTTTTGGTTCCTGAAGCGTATCACCTGGGCCAGGAGGAGACGGACTGGTTTGATAAGCCCCGAGATGCTCGTTCTGACCGGTTCAGACACCATGGGGGCCACACAGTCTCCTCCTCCCAGAAGCGAGGCCCTGCCAGGCACAGCTACCACGACTACGATGAGCCCCCTGAGGAGGGTCTGTGGCCTCATGATGAGGTTGGTCCAGGCCGTCATGGCCCAGCCAAGGAACACCGGCACCACAGTGAGCACGGGCGGCATGCAGGCCGCCATGCTGGTGAGGAGCCGGGAAGGCGTGCTGCCAAATCACATGTTCGGGACCCGGGTCGCCATGAGGCCCGGCCCCACGCTCAGCCCAGCTCTGCCTCAGCCATGCTGAAGAAGGGTCAGCCTGGGTACCCCAGCCCAACTGATTATTCCCAGCCATCTCGTGCTCCAGCAGCATACCACCACACCTCTGACAGCAAGAAGGGCTCCCGGCAGGCCCACTCTGGGCCTGCTGCACTGCAGCCAAAGCCAGAACCCCAGGCACTGCCACAGTTGCAAGGTCGGCAGGCAGCTCCAGGGCCACAGCAGTCACAGCCACCATCATCCAGGCAGATGGCCTCAGGAGCAGCATTGCGCCAGCCACAGATACAGCAGCAGCAACAGCAGCAACAGCAGCAGCAGCAGCAGCCACAACAGCAGCAGCAGCAGCAGCCGGGTCTTGGGCAGCAGCCTCCCCAACAGGCCTCGTCGCAGGCTCGGCCACAACAGCAGAGCCAGGCAACTGCCCGGGGCCCAGCCACTGCTGCAAGCCAGCCAGCAGGGAAGCCCCAGCCAGGCTCCACAACAGCCACAGGCCCCCAGCCAGCAGGACTGGTGAGTAGGGTCTCACCTAGGACAGATGCTACAGCTAAAGCTTGGACATCCCTTTGGATCCAGGCTGGGTATGGGCAGGGTTATTGGCAAGATATCAGCTCTAGGTTCTATGTTGCAGCCACGGGCAGAACAGGCAGATGGCTCTAAAGTGACGACCAAAACACCCCAACAGGGGAGAGCTCCCCAGGCCCAGCCAACACCAGGACCTGGACCTACAGGTAAGCTTATCCTTTGGTGTCTTCAGCTATACCCTGGGCTGTTCTCTCCCTATAACCACTTACACACTCCCTAATCCCCAAGAAGGTACCTAGTAAGTTGCTGACCTCCCAGTAAAAAATGATGCTGGGGTTAGAATGAGTCAGCAGGGCCACTGGTATTGGGGCCTTAGAGCCCAGGCCACTGTGGGTAGAGAACAGAAGGTACTGGTGAGCACAAGGACTATTCCTTCCTCTTCTGTCCTCTCCTCTGCTGTTTTGTCTTCTGCCTTTTCCTTTCTTCTTTACCTTTCTAAACCTCTTTTCTGCTTCTTTCCACCCCTTCTCTTCCTCTTGTCTTTATTCTCTAGCCTTCCCCTCACCTTCCTACCTCACAGGGTACCTGTGTTCATGGCTCTCATGGCTCTTTTCCCACTTAGACCCTGAACAGCCAGGCCAAGGCTCATTCATGATGGTGGCTTCTATTTTCATAGGCACAAAGGCTGGAGCCAGACCTGGAGGACCCCCGGGGGCTGCTCCTGGCCAGCCAGGTGCTGATGGGGAGAGCGTGCTCTCCAAGATCCTCCCTGGTGGGGCAGCAGAACAAGCCGGCAAGCTAACGGAAGGTATGTACTACCTGTGGCCAGGTCTGTGGTGGGCCTAGGATTCTACATTGGTGGAAGCTGTGCCTATGGAATGATTCACAGGCACAATGGCCTAGGCACAGGTCAGCAAGAGGGACCACACGCTCCCACACAATGATATTCTGGGAAGCCCTTGCCCTTTGGGTCAAACCTATCTCATTGTGCTAAATAGCCCAATTTCCTGATGCCTCTCTCTTCTTTCTATATCATAGCTGTCTCTGCTTTTGGCAAAAAATTCTCCTCATTCTGGTGACCTTGCCCAGCAGGGTGAGTATGAATGACCTGTACCTGACCTGTCCTGAAGAAGACCTGAGTTACTGGCAGGGGTTGGGGATGAAGGGGTAGAGATGTGTTTCTAGTCTTCTGTGGGTAGTGTGGGTGGAGCTGCAGTGTGCTCTCCTGGAGTATGTGTGCCAAATGAGCAAAGGTCTCCAGCAAAGAGAATCCAGGGACAATCTCTCATCTTCCTCACCATCCCCTGTCTCACTACAGAGGTCTCACAGCTATGGGTTGGTATTGAGCTATAGGTGGGGACCGTGATGTAGCTTCTTTCCAACTCTCCTCTGAAAATGCCCCACAGGCTCTTGAAGGCATAAAGACAGATGATGTCATTGCTGTGGAAAAATCTCTGGAGTCAAAGACCTGGGCGCAGCTCTGGACTCTGCGTATAACAGTGAGTCTCAGAACTAGAAGAGGATGGGCCACAAAAGGGCATGAAGGGTTACAGCCATCCAGTCCCTGCAAGTGTTAACTAAGTAGAACTTTGGGAATGGGCCCAGAAGTTCCCTGGGATACAGAGGCCTGTGTACTTGCTGATAAATCAGGTGGTACCTTGGGGAAGGGTCTGGTGATGTCAAATGCATTCCAATAGTTGAGGTTTGTATCTTGAGCACAGAACCCAAAGTAATCCTTGAGGACAGGATACTCTGAGGTTCCTGAGGGGGACATATTCCCCTGGCTAGAGTCCCCCAGCACTACAGAGTTTAACAAGCTTGAGCATGAAGTCAGGACACTGTTGGCCTCACAGGCTGAACTTGTGGTCCACAGGACAAAAGAGTAGAATGAATATGGACGTAGACAGGAGGGGGACATAGAGGCAGGGGGAAAGGGCATGGCCAAGCAGCCTCAACCTCAGAGTAGGTCAGAGTAGATGGGTCTCAAAATCTGGCTCTGTCTGAACGCCATACCAACATAGGGTGAGATGGCTGGCTCCTGGAATGTGCCCTGGCCTTGCCCTGAGCCATGCGGCAGAACAGGTGCATCGTCCAGCATTGGGGCAATGTAGCTGGCTGTTGGTTGTTCTGTGCATGGCCAGGGAGCACCTGCTACTATTCTGTAGTTCCGAGCCTTTCTCCCTCCTTTGGCATGCCAAGGGTTTGAGAATATGAAGGCTTATGTACAGTTTCCATGGCAGGAGCTGGCAGTCAGCAAGCAGGTCAGTTCAAGGGAGTCTAGCAAGTGTCCTAGCTTAGGCTGAACTTCTTATACCAGAGAAAGAACTGAGTAAGATGGACAAAAGCTTCCTGTCTCTGAAGGAGCAGGGGTGGGCTAAAAGACTGTTCCATCTATGTGGTCAACAAATGTTTGTCAAGCCCCAAGTGTATGCCAAGCAGTTTCAGTCACTGAGAATACAGCATGAAACAAAGCCAAGATCTTGCCCTCTGAAACTGACAATCCATTAAGGGGGATGAAGAATAAATAAGTTTAAAAATTAAATCTCAAGATAATTTCTGAAGGTAGTAAGTGCCAGTGAAGTAGGATGATCAGAGCAGTGGGATCTAGAAAAAGTGGTCGGAGATAAAGTGTGTGGAACAAGGCCTGGAGGTAGAGAAAAAGCTGCTGTGGGATCTGCACACGTGAAGAAACAGTGACAGTAGAGGTTCTGGGGAAGAATGAGTATGGCAGGCTTCTTGGACAGTCAGATCAGCATAATGAGAGCTACAGCAGAGGGGAGGCATTCAGGGATAAAGTGCAAGGGGGTGGGAGGTCGCTGGTATGGGCTTTACAGGTCAAAGGAAAGAGCCCAGAACTTATTCTAATTTTTTTTTTTTTTTTTTTTTTGCGGAACCGGGGATTGAACTCAGATCCTTGCATTTGTCAGTCAAGCGCTTATCCTACTGAGCCATCTCCCCAGCCCCTATTCTAATTATAGTAGCCATAGTGCAGCCACATATCCTGCTGCCCTGGCTGCACCATAGTCTCTTCACTGCTTTTCTGCTCAGTGGGATGTTTCCTTGGCGTTCCCCTGGAACAGATGTGGAGTCAGAGTGGTCCTGAGGACAGAGAAGGAGAGACAGCTCATGGCCCAGGTTGGCAGCATCCATGTCCGGTTTGGGGCCAAGGGAGTATGGGGAAAAGGCAGCACAGATAAGACTGTTCTGTATTCTGTCACACAGTGCAGAGCCACTGAGAGCATGGGCTTTGTAGCTAAAGGAGCCTCCATCAGTTCTAGCATTTAGCTAATGTCAAAGCTGCTATGTGGGCCTATTTCCCTGGGGTTTGATATCAGTTTCAGAGACGGGTTAGGAGAGGCTTACCATTTGAAACAAAATCCTGTCTCCTCACTCTTAAAGCAAAAATAACAGGAACTTTTAGGTAGATGTGGTGGCAAAATCTATAACCCCAGCACTTGGGAGGCTGAGGCAGGAGGTCTGATCTAGCCAAAGAGATCTAGAGAGTTCAAGACTAGCCTGAGCTACATAGCAAGACCCTGTCTCAAAAAGAAAAAAAAAAAAAAAGGAGAAAATCTTTACAACATTAAAAGAAATGTCGAGCAAGGAAAAGTGAAACAGCCTCATAGTCTTAGCTACTCTAAAGGTTGAGGTGTTAGCATCTTTCCAGCCAGGAGTTTAGGCCCAATGCAGGTGACACAGTAGGACCCTGTCTCAAAAGAAAAAAAATACAAAGGCTAATAAAAAGTGCAGTGTATTTTTAAATTTTTTTAAAATATTACAGTAAGGGGCTGGAGAGATGGCTCAGTGGTCTAAAGCACCTACTTAGAACAAGCTTAGCAAAGCATCAGGGACCGCGGTTCAATCCCCCAGCACCACATGCCAGCCAGGGCCGCCCCCTGGTGGGCTGAGCTGGCCACACACACACACACACCCCCCTCTCTCTCTCTCTCTCTCTCTCTCTCATAAATAAAAAAAAATTAAAATATTACAGTAAAAGACCCAATGCTGGGGCTAGGGAGATAGCTCAGTGGCATAAGTGCTTACCTGGCAAGTATGAAGTCCTGAGTTCAATCTCTGACACCAATAAACAAATATATATATATATATATATTTAATTATTTATTTATTTTTTATTTTTTTAAAGGCCCAGTGCTGTTAGGCGTGGTGGTTCATGCCTATAACTGCAGCACTCAGAAGGCTGAGGCAGGAGTATGCCCATGAACTTAAAAGCCAGCCTGCATAGAAAACACTTGTCCCCCCCAAAAGAAAATTGCCATTAATCTTCATTAAAGTACTTTTCCTCTCTTCAAACACACTTATCCGATACACTTTCTGAAGCAGCTCTTTGACTTTTTTTTTTTTTTATCTTTACAAAGTATGATCAAAATATAGAAAGTGCTGCTCCTGAGTGCCATTCAACACAAAGGCAGGCTCATAGTAATGTTAATGTATATATCCTCATTCACCTTATTTACCAGATCTGGCATTGTTTGACTTCTGCCTCTTCCTCAAAATCAAAATGACCATAAAAGGAAAAATGCTTTGAATTGATTTAGGATATTGAAGCAGCCATCATGACTCATTCATGAAAGAGAACATATATAACTGCTTCAGAAAATTGCAATAAAAATGAGATAAATGTATCTGAAGCATGTGGAAGTATTCTGAGGGGAACAGCATGTGTCTTTTACTGTAATAATGTTTATAAACATTCACTCTATTTTATAATTGCACCTTGTATGCCCCTTCCTGACAGATTGAATTCTTTTTCTTCTCCTCTCTGTGACCTTCAAGCTGCCCAAATGCCCATTTCCCAACACCTCAGCGGTTCTAGGCCCTTGGCATATGACCAATGTCTGAGAGGAATGTGAGGGTGGGAAGCAGTTGCCCATAGTTCTTGACCAAACCTTTCTTTGTTTTCTTTGTCTCTCCTTCCCTTTTTCCCTTTCCCTCCTTGTCTTTTCCAAGCATCTACAATCTGGCAAACCCTTGGCCCAAAGACTCACAGCAAGTGGGCTGTGGCAGGCAGGACTCAGTTGAGGACAGTATGTCTCCTAACAGCAGCTGCCCAGGTGGAGCATATGCTGGACAAGTTGGGACCACTGGCCTGGAGGATCTTTGTCTTTCCAGAGACACTGTCTTCCTCAGCCAACTGTCATGGGGAGGGAAGTACTCTCTCCAGAGCCGCTGCAGCTGTCTGCCACTCTTCCCACAGCCAGCCAGGCTTCCAGTGCGTTATACACAGAGTTTGGAAGCACACTGCCCTCCTTCCAGGATGCCAGAAGTTTTTCCACAGCCTTGCAGAGGGGCTTTGACTGGGCACCTTGCGTTCTGTTTCCTTCACATTCCAGCTGGCTCGGATCCTTCCTGTTCCTTCACCCTTCCCTGGGGTGACAGCGGAGCAGACCTCCATATGGCCAGCACAGGGTTGGGAGAACTTTACAAACATTAGGACCTAACACTGTCTCATTGCTGAAATAAGAGGCCATAGCACCGAAAAGCAGCAAGGGCACTGGCTGAGGCTTCTCCCAGCCCAACAGTGGCAGTGTGCTACACACCTGCCAGCCTCTTAAAGCCATCCCCCAGCCATCTTTATCTCCCCAGCGGCACCGCCATTGTCTTGACCAGCTGGCTCCTCATCCATATACCTGGGGATTTCTTTTCATTTCAAGAACAGCCTTAATCATTCCAGTTTGATTTATGTGTATACCTCATAAATATTTTTCTTTCTCTCTCTTTCTCTTTCTCCTTCTTCTTTGCTCAACTCCTTCACCTCTCCCCTCCACTACCACCTTGTGACTGATGGTTTGGTTTTCTCTCTGCTCTGCCCCTGCTCAGCACATGGAGAATGTTGACTAAGAAGCAATAGGGGGCACCAGTCCACCAAGAGCACAACCCCAGGGCGAGGCCTAGGGAGGCCCCTCAGCCCGCCTCTGTTTACTGTGCAATTCCAGTCCTTCTTAAGCCATCACCAGTGGGTGTGCTCAGAGCAGAGGGGTCAGGGCTTCTGCCAGCTGGGGAAAAGGCCCAGAGCCCTGTGTGGGGGAGTATGGCACCATCTGTCTACTTGGTGGACTAGGTGGCATTCCTCCCCAAGACCCTTCTCTGGGGAGCCTCCCTTCATCTTGGGCATACCCACAAGTCTCATCTTTAACTTTCTATGCAATGAAATATAAACCCTCAAAGACAACTGTTAATATTTAATAAATTCCATGTTATGTATAAGGAGTTAATTGCAAACATGCGATTGAGAAACTGGATAGATATACTCATATCACTACCCCCAAGCCCTGCTCCCATGTATGTGTGTGTGTGAAATTCTGTCTGTGGCATGTTTGACCTGTGGCAGGACTCGCTGCTGCCAGGTGAGTCACCGCCTGTCCCGCAGTGGAGCATGCACAGCTCGCAGCCTCTTTGCACGATCTCATCCATTTTAAATGCTCAACCTTTTTGCTTGGAGTTCTTTTGCCTCTGACCCTCTCCTTCAGGAACACTTATAGTGACTTCTGCATAAGCTGGTGAGGACCTGCCAGAATTGTTGCCCAAGTGTGCCAGGCTGTGGGGCGGGCAAGATGAAGTTCTACATACCCTGCAATTTCCTTTGGTCAAGATAACAAATAAAATGGGAAAACATGGAGTAGACACAATGGAGCCTGTGTAGGATGCATGTGTATGAAAGTTTGCTGTATGATTTATATATGTATCCATTTTCCCCTCCTACTCCAGTCCTCAACCAGAGCCATCTGGGTATCCTTCCTAGTGGAGTACTGCTTAAAGACAGAACTGAGCTGCATCCCTGACCAGAGAGGCAGAGGCCAGGGCAGAGTCAGACTGTGCCCTGGGGACCCCAAGTCCTGCCTAAACCCACTCCATCCCTCTCCTTTGTGGTCAAGAGGCTCAAAGGACTATATGTTTAGAGAGCTGGGGCTGGGGAGATGGCTCAGTGGAATAAGCGCTTCCCTGGCAAGCGCAAGGCCTGAGTTCAATCCCTGGTTCCACCAAAAAAAAAAAGAGAGAGAGAGAGAGGTCTGGGCTGGAGCCACGGGTTAAAAGGGCACTTAGGAAGAGCTGGGCTTTTGGCACTTCTCTTTGACTAACAATATCATCTGAAGCAGGTGAACTGTTCACATAAACAATCGCTTTAAGATGAGCTTCTTGTGAAGCTTCTCAGAAGAACTTAATAAGGTTGTGTGTGTCCCTTTTGGCATCCATCCCTGGGACTTCCCTTGTCTACCTGAGTACGCAGTCATCAGCTTCTCCACTGCTGGGCCAGGGGTGGGGCAGGTAGTAGTTGCCTCCCCCTCAGGACCTGACTGACCTTCCTCCAGAGTGCTCTGGTTTGCACCATGCATTTCTCAGGGGTCCACATTTCTTTTTCTATAAGGCCTATACACCCCTTAAGAAAGGGGTCCTGGCCCACCTCTGGCAGCTGTAGATAAGACAGGAAGCTTGCCAGTCTTCATGGTGACCGTGGCCTCCTGGGATTTGGCCTCTATTCCATGAGACAGCTGCCTTATCTCCAAAGATCAGGTCTGGGCTATCTGAGGCCTTCTGAGCAAGGGCTGAGGGAGGCCATCATCTAGTTTCTGTAGCCACCCACGGTCTGTGTAGATTGCCCTAGCTGGATATTTGCAGAGTAAGGCAGTAACCCTTTCCACTAACAGCCAGGAGATGGAACTGGGAGCAGAATGTCAGCAAGGAGATGCCAGCAGGTCTGCCTCTAGCAGGCTCCATATCAGGCTTTCAGGTAGGTACTGGCTTTTCAGCAGATTTTCTTTCTGGCCAAACCCTCTGAGTTTAAAATGTCTGATATCTGCCACTCCCCACCCCCCACTGAGCCTACAGTACAAATCATTACCCCTCTGTGAAGACTGTGAAGGCTGCAGCAGGCCTCTGGATCATGGCAGTCCTGGCCCATATGTGGCTGCAGCTGTGACTCTAAGGGCAATGCAGCCAGAGGGGCAGACTAGCATTTGGTGCTTGGGAAGTAGAGAGCAATATACACTTTTCAAATGAAATACAGATCTCTAGGATGCAGTGTAGGCCTTCTCTGATTTTCCCCCCAGATGTCATGAACAAGGGTACTCTCTTCTCCCCACTGGAGGGCCCAGGAACCCATCTCATAGCAACAACCCTTCCCTGACCACCATTCTCTCAGGCCTTGGGCAGAGCATGTGATCTCAGGGCCTGCACTGAAAGAGCAGAAGTGGCAGCAACTCTGGAACCTGTGAGAATTTTCCAGGACAGTGCAATCTCACCCTATTAGATCCTTTCCTACTCCCTTTTCCCATCCATGCTGTAAATACTTGTCACCGTGAACTCAGACAGGATCAAAGGGACAGGCCTAATAAACTGAAACTCCTTGGAGATACCATCTGTCTCCCTGGGTGCCAGTGCCCTGCTGCCATGTGCACTGGGATGGTACTAGAAAGCCATGGAAGTCATGAGATATTGTGTGGATGCATGTGAACGTGTGTGTGTATGTGTGTGTGTGTGTGCGTGCACACGTGTGTCTGCCTCATTCAGCCTCTGGAGTCAAATCAGCTCCTTCTCCAAGTGTAGTAGCCTGGAGAGTGGTGGCCACCAACACCTTTTCCTCTAGCTTCCCTGTCTTGTTTTTGCTTTTCCTTCTCTCCTCCCTCTGTCCCTTTCTTTTCTTTTTTCCTTCTCTCCTTATTTGAGGGGGGAAGAGTGCTGTACAGTCAAACAAGTTTACAGTTGTAAGTGCAATGACCCGAGTCCTCCACATGACCTTGTGAATTGTGTGCCGTCCTCCTGTGCTCTGTGAGAACTCGTGGTACTTCAGTGTCCCTCCCCCTCCTGTATTGTGACAAGGTAATTCTGTGGCATCAGAATAAAAAGACTTGATATAAACAACCTACTGTCTCTGGGATGCTTTCTAAGTAGGAAAGGTTAGACATGGGAGTAACTCCCCAAATTTGTGACCATTCTGTTCACAGTTAAAGGGAAAAGAATAAAGGGGCAAAGTTTTGCAAAGTGCTAGCATGACAGACTGAGTTTACACCACGCCAAAGACAAGGAACCCTCCACAAAAGTAAACAAGCATAGGCCCAAGCTTGGATCTGGAGCAGGCAGTTCACTGTACAAGCTGTGGGGAAAACTGAATGGGTGTTCAAGCAGCACCCACAGCTTTCTGGGCCTGCATCCCAGAAGGCAAGCGAGCATGTACTGCCCTCTGGTGCTGCCAACAAGTCTTAACCTGCCTACTTCTCCCCAGAGGTCTTGATGGGTGCCAGAGTTCAGGACTGCAGATGGACAGGAGTAACCCACAGTCACTAGAGCATCTGAAAACAGAATTTAAAAAACACCAAATTTGCCTCAGTTGAGCTCTTTAGGCAAAGCAGGGTGAAAGGAGCTCTGAGGTGTGGAAGACCAGCCAAATTCATGGTATATGGAGGTGACATCACTGCTGGTGTGGCTACTGCCGAGCCTTCTGACTCCGCTGTCATCTCAGACAATCCGGTTCTGTGCCACGTGAAGAGGGAATCTGCCTACCCAGGTTCTCTGCACTGGAAGCTCTTTGGTCCGGGGATGGGGGTAGGAGTGGAGCCTGACCCCAACAGGCCCTCAGCATTCAAGGGTTTGAGCTGAGGCCCGGGAAGAAAGAGGACTAATCTCACGATTCTCACCAGGCGCCCTTGAGAAAGATGGGCGAAAGCTGCGGGAACTGATAGCTGTTGGGCTAGGTCTGGCGACGATTGATAAGCCCAGGCAGCACCTGCCCAGCCAGCGCAGCGCCCGGCCCTCTGCCTGCTGCGTCAGGGCCTGCGCCCTTTCGTCCAGTCTGCCTAGGAGTCCCCGGCGCCGTCTAAGGAAGGTGGGCAGGGAGAGACCCAAGGCGACAGGGCCGCGGAGGCCTAAGCGGAGGCAGGTAGACGCTCCCGCCCTGCCCAGAATCGCTAGGGCCCCAAGAACCCGCCCCACCTCACGCACGCCTACTTCAGCGACACCCAGCTGGTTTCAATACCCGTAGGGTAGGGTTAGAACTCAGGCTCCGCCCCCTTTCCATAAACCTTCGCTT